CAGGTCAAACTGTGAGTTCAAGATTAAAACAATTATATGGTTTTAAAATGCCCAATAATTTGATACTGATACTGATACCAATCAAAATAGGACCAGTACTACTGGTAAGACAATGCTTTGTTCCAAAGTCCCTGAATGACATACATTCTTGCCATTGTAGTATTTGTGAGAACAGTAGTGGCACTTCTATTGGAAATCAACAAAAGGAAAGACCACAGGTAAAGGACTCAAAAGAACCATTTTCCCCCAAAGAACTAACTGAGCAGACAATAATTGTGAATGAAACCAAACTGGGTATCAGAAGGCAGGACAGATAATTTAACAACAAACTTATTAAATCCATTCAAAGCACTCAACCTGAGGGTTCCATGAGGGCCTTTGTAGAAATGATTTATGACACACTTAGAAGAAATAGTAAAATGTAATTAACGATCCAATGCATCGTTGGTAAATATCGATGGATAGGAGTAAGAGTAAGGCCACATTGTCTCCTCGCATTCGACATGATACAAATGGAAGATAAAAGTCACCATTGACAGTACGACAAGGCTTCGTCGCAAAACCTGAAAGAATGTGGTGTTCCTTTTAAGTTTTTCAAGTCTGACTTGATGCGGATGGCCAGTCTTTTTCGCTCACACATCACCTAATTCAGCGACTTCGCCTTTATTCTCCGGTACAAAACGTCTGTGCACATCAATTGCCTTTTTTTATGTCTGTCAGATATTAAAATGTCCAGTTATTTCGGAGGTTCTCGGTTTTGGGTTGATCGCGTTTTTTGTCTTCTTTCGGATTCCCTATTTCTGAAATCACTTTCAAATTCGATGACTTTCGCCCCAGCAGTAGAAATATCTCTCAAACTAGACGTTGGAGATGTTGTTGGGGAAGTTGTTGGGGAAAAGGTGGTGGGCTGATAGGTCGTCGGTGCGGTCGTAGGTAAGAATGTGGTAGGCTCAGAAGTGGGAGCAAGAGTTGTTGGWGATGATGAAGGCGTTGTCGAAGGCGTTGATGAGGGGGACGGTGACGGTGGTGAGGATGGACTTTGYGAAACCGAYGGCATGAAAGATGGAAAAGTACTTGGTGTGCTGGTCGGAGAACTAGTTCTAAATTCCTTGCATCTTCTCAGACARGTGAGAGGACAGCTYGCTTTTACTGCCCGGTTTGTAATAGTGTCAATCTGTTTGCACTGATTGATTTTCTTGTTCGGAAAATAAGTAGCGATAAGGCTACAAGTAACTCCTTCTTCACCATCAACCAAATATGTAGGGTCATCAACGCAACCTGCATCTATGAATTGCGAAGGAGTTTTAMGAAATGATGGACCGTCGGAAGGTAAACTGGATGGCACATTTGTAGGTGCAAAAGATGGTTGCAGAGATGGTCCATCAGAGGGTTGAAGAGATGGCCCATCCGATGGCAAAGAGCTTAGTCCAGGGGTCAGATGAGGTGTCGGAGTCGAACCTACGATCTTGACGAATCCTGTTTGCTCGCTTTGAGGGGTCGGAGACTCGGTCGCAACAGTTACAGGAGTTGTCGGAGTCGAACCTACGATCTTAACGAATCCTGTTTGCTCGCTTTGAGGGGTGGGAGACTCGGTCGCAACAGTTACAGGAGTTGTCGGAGTCGAACCTACGATCTTAACGAATCCTGTTTGCTCGCTTTGAGAGGTTGGAGACTCGGTTGCAAGAGTTTCAGGAGCTGTCGGAGTCGAATCTAGGGCCTTRATGAATTCCGTTTGCGTGCTTTGAGAAGTTGGGGACTCAGTTGCAACAGTTTSAGGAGCTGTCGGAGTCGAACCTACAATCTTAATGAATCCTGTTTGCTCGCTTTGAGGGGCTGGAGACTCGGTTGSAAGAGTTTCAGGAGCCGTCGGAGTCGAATCTACGATCTTATTGAATACTACTGGCTCGCTCGGAGAACTCCGAGACAAAAGAACCGATGATGGTTCTAGTGACGGCCCATCCGACGGGAAAGACGATGGTTCTAGTGATGGCCCATCKGACGGGAAAGAAGATGGTTCCAGTGACGGCCCATCGGACGGAAAAGAACTTGGCATGTCTGTTGGCTTTGGAATGCGGAATCCTCGTTGTAGAGAAGGTCCATCAGAGGGTAGTAAAGATGGTCCATCCGATGGTACAGACGAAGGAGCAAAGGAAGGTTGTATTGATGGCCCATCCGACGGAAAATAACTCAGTATGCCTCTTCGGTCACTACTAGGAGCGAARACTGTCTCACTTRTGGGCATGGGCACTGGTGCCGATGTCYTCCTCCCTCTTTTGACTTTCCGTGGCTTTTTCGGTTTCCTTGGTTTCTTTYTCTTCCTTGGCCTCTTCGGCTTTCTGGGTTTCTTTGGCTTTTTGGGCATGGTTTCCAACATTGCTRAAGCAGCCTCCGTTTCTGCTGTCATTTCCATAGAAGCCAGCTTCGTTCCCAGTCCTGTCTTATCAACAGAATCGCGTTTCTTCATGTAGCCATCGGGATCAATCTTTCGAGCTCTGACATCGTCAATCTTCCCGATGACTCTTCTTCGCCTTTGCCTTCTGCTGCCCACTCGGAGTAGCTGTTCTTCTCTTTCAACGTGTTCTTGTTGTCCTCGCTCTGCTTTGGTAGACGTCGGAAGAACAACCAACGCAATGGCGGAGATCACCATCAATCGAAAATAAAGTACGCTTCTCATGATCACGTTTACTTTGTGGTMGGGGAMAGATGACTCTGTTTTTTGATATGCAGTGGTACTAWCTATATACTAAAGTGCAACRCTTTTCGTCTTGTTGCTAAAGAAAGTTTTCGAGTTTGTTTGAMCCASTGAATATCACGACAAGATGCGCAAGCATTCAGCGATTTGCATTCGGTGAAATTAACTTTTTKKTYMAWYSG